TTAAGTTAGGCTAGCATTATAAATTTAGCCAGAATTATAGTATATAAAATTATAATTTGGCCAAATTATATAATCAGAGTCCATTGGACTGGACATCTCCATTAGGTCCAAAGTCCAATAGTCCATTATTGGGAATTGGACAAGATCCAGTCCCTCATTTTCACATACCAAATGTAAATATCTAAAAAAATTAATTCTCTCAAAATCAACCACAAAATCATAGAGACGACTTTCAATATTGCTTTCGAAAGATTTTTATATATTGTAGCTTTGTATAATTTTTTAGGAGATCACTTCTTCTAATACCAAACACCGTGAATGCTTATTTATAAAAGATGGCTCATTTACGAATAGAAATAAATTGACGGAGCTTTGAGGACATAATGTCAAATTCTAGGAGCTGTGCTTTCGAAAATCAAATTATTATTCCTAGTTAGAGGTGCTACCTTTTTTCTTTGCATTCCAGGAGACATCATTCAATATTGATATATATAAAATATTTAGAGATTTGTCGTTCTGAATTATATAAATTATATATCAATAGTTCATGATCTAACTTTACACTTAGAGTCTGGACTCGTATTCGTGTAACTTGGGTAAATTCGGGTTAAATTTTGTTTTCGAGTCAAAATTTATAGACTCGAATCAAGATTCGAGTAAGTATTCGAGTAAACTCGAATTATATTAATTCGAATCTAAGCTCAATGTATACTCGAGTTAACTACTCGAATTCTTGACTCGAGCTTACAACATAAACTTAGAGTGCATACAACACTTTATTAAGATACCATACAATTTATTCTTAAATTCTAGTAGGTGAAATTTATTTTTTAAAAAGAAACATGCGTCTTTTTGGTAGTATTTTTCCACCAGAATATAGATAAAATTTACTGAAATTCCTAAAAAGTCAAACAATTCATGTATTGTGATCATATATTACATTAATATAAATCGTATATTCATTGTTAAGATATCAGCATCGTATAAATATAAAAAAATTTTTTTTTTAAATTTTAATGTTTTCAATACTTTAATTAAAAATTTATAAATACAATTTCATTTTTTTTTTTTTTTTTTATAATGTTATTTTCGCTAAATTTCCAAATTAGGCGATAGCGTTTCATGAAAAAAATTGTACATTTCGAATACTAAGTATTCAAATGCTAACTCGAGTCAGATGCTCGAATCCTATACGCGAATTCTGACTCAAATTTCCTCGGATGCTCTTCGAGTCAAAATATTCTTGACTCGAGTAAATTTTTTGACTCGAGTTCAATGACCATTTACACTTATGGTTTGCTATTAAAATCGAGTTACAAGCATAGGCCATAATTTTATATTTTTAATAAACAATTAAATTTTTTACCGTTGGCAAAAGATGCAAGTTTCTCCTTTGTAGAAGCAAATTGTGAATTATAAGTGCAATAAATGATAGTATTGCATGCCTTCGTCCTTCAAATGCTGATAGCTTTTATTCTTACATTAATTTATTTACTTTGAGATATGGTAAATCATTTATAAAAATTCCTATTGTTTATAGTAGTAATATTCATACTCTTTCGAGTTTCGTCAAAAAGTAATTTGTTAATATAAAGAGTTTAGAATTGGCAAGTTTATAAAATTTAAGCTTAAAATAAGTTAAAGCGATTATGGGATAAAGACTATTTAAGACGCAAAATAATTGGGTATTAACAAATATGAAAAAAAACATACTATACTGTTAACCGTACAGTACAGTACAGGTTTACTATATTCACAAAATAATTAACATTAAAGTTATGTTTTTTCGAATTGCTCGATTTCATTTATTTGAAAATCAAAACATAATTCTAATATATTCTTTTTTTTTAAATAAGTGACCAAGGATTAATTTGGTCAAAAAATTATGTTCATCATGTTTAATGTAAGTTTCAAGTATAACTTTGATAAATTTTTTATTGATTTTAAACATTAATATACAGTCCTTTTTTTTCAGAGATAAAATATGTAAAATGAGGAACGAAAATTGTAAGGAAATTTCTTATATGAAAAGAAAAGAAAAGGAAAAGAAAGTTTAAACCCAATTATACGTTAAACTTCTAATAGATTGGTGAATTATAATTCATATAATTTAATTTTCAATAGCCATTTTATTTAAGAATAAAAGAAAGCATTTATTTTAAAGAAAATAATTTTTAATTGTCTAAATACTGCAAGTTTTAATGAATTTAATTATGATCACAATTTTGTCATCGATATTCAGGATAAAATAATTCAAGTATCATTACTACTGAACATTAAGAAAACGTAGAATGTTAAAGATTTAGGCAATACGAGAGTCATTCGCTTTGGCAGGATAGTTATTGATACGTTGAGTTTTTAAAGATTCAGGTCGGATAAATAATAAGGAATTGGGTAAATTTGGTAAGCAAGCTATTAGAGTTTTAGAGCAATCAAGTGATATTAGGGAGTTGGGTAAAGTTGGTAGGATAGTCATAGGAGTATGAGAACAACAAAATTCCGTTAAGGAGATGGGCAAGGTTGGTAGGATAGTTATTGGAGTATTAGAGCAATCAAGTTCCGTTAAGGAGTTGGGTAATAATGGTAGGATAGTTATTGGAGTAAAAGAGCAATAAAGTTTCGTTAAGGAGTTGGGTAAAGTTGGTAAGCTATTTATTTTAGTATATTCACAATTGAGAACTGTCAAGGAGTTGGGTAAAGTTGGTAGGATAGTTATTGGAGTATTAGAGCAATAAAGTTTCGTTAAAGAGTTGGGTAGAGTTGGTAGGATGGATATTGAATTACTAGAGCAATCAAGTCGCGTTAAGGAGTTTGGTAAAGTTGGTAGGATAGTTATTTCAGTATCAGAGCAATCAAGTTTCGTTAAGGAGTTTGGTAAAGTTGGTAGTATAGTTATTTCAGTAACAAAGCAATTAAGTTTCGTTAAGGAGTTTGGTAAAGTCGGTAGGATAGTTATTGAAGTAAAAGAGCAATTGAGTTTAGTTAAGGAGTTTGGTAAAGTTGGTAGGAAAGTTACTTCTGTATGACTACAATCAAGTTTTGTTAAGGAATTGGATAAAGTTGGTAAGCTATTTAATTTAGCATAGGAACAGT